GCCCGGCTTGCCACAGGTTTGCCTGCTGTGTCTAAAAGTAGCAGCAGCAGCAACCCAGACTGACAGCTCATTGGCTCATTTGGATCCGGAGGGCTTTACCGTATTAACAGGAGAAGCAGAGCAAGTGAAGTTAGACACAGTCGTCGGACAGCATGCGGTTATTTATAAATGTTTAAATCAGGTTCGGTCCAGATTAGCCAGCAGGTGGATCCGGATCCGGACCGCGGTCCACTAATCCGTGATTTCTGTTCTACTCATTAGCTGAAGATGTAATTTTTTTTTTAAAGCTTTAATCAAAAGACTAAATTGATAAAGAATTGGTTTCAGAATTCTTCCTGGTTTTAGGAGGGAGAATTTTCCCTCTCATTTCACCTTGAATGACTTGGCTTGCTTGATTGCTACTGCAGGAACTGCTGGTGTGTTATTTCTTAATTATGCCCCCCCCCCCCTTATTACCACCTTCAGTTTCAGATCAACCTGCCCTCTGAACCAACATTAACACTGAGCTGCAAGGTCTGCTGGTAGAAATAATTCACTCTGTTGTTCAGGTTTATCCTCCTGGTGCAGATAGGAATGCTGCTTTAGCCTATTAACCCAATATAATTAGGCATCTAAAGGTATATTTATCCTGTAACAAACACAAAAATAAGAATATTAGTTATATGTTTGCAAAAACCATACGTACATCAGACTTAGCTCTGTAGCATGAAAGTAAGTGAGAACGGTCCGTTACCAGAGGATTAAGGGGGCGGTACACGGTTCCAGGTGCTTTCTGTAAGTCCATCATTCCTGTGCTGCAGCACATTTACCGGTTTGAGTTCACAGGAGCAGCGATTTAATCTCAGACACGCTCCTTCTCTGTCAGCTGAGCGTTTGCAAACCTGTATCTCTGTGTCTGTGCTCCACTCTGCATCATCTGCGTGTTCGACTGATCACAGCTTTAAAACCGTGGCTTAACCCTTTATAGGACGCTCAGTGAAATACTTGGAAAATCTAAATTTCAGCCAATAGTGTTTTTGGAATCCAGGACAGACCTTATTACCTTTGGAACGTTAAAAAAATATGGATATTTTGATGGCAAAAATGAACGTCAATGTAATACGAAAAAACAACTTGACCGAATATATTAAGAAAAATAACAAAAGTGCTTCTAGAAGAAATTCATGAGAAACACTCTGAGTGAAAGAAACATTTTTTTTGGTCCAACATAACCTTGAAGGCATTAATGCTGACAGTTTTTAGTTTATAAACCTAAATATAATTGGTAACTAGGGGGGTGGGGGGGTAATCCATCCAGCTCATGAGAGTTGATGCAATAGATATTATAGATATTATATCCAGAATAAATATTTCATTAATGTAGTGTTTATTTTTGGATAAAGACACACGAACCTTCTGCTTCTGTTTCTATCATCCAACTAGAATTTAAACATTTCTATGTACTGTCAGAAAAATGTTTTGTCTATATTGTTTGAATTGTTAAAAACTTTATTTTGCATACTTCTTAAATCAACTTCTTTATTATCATGGCATTATAAAGTAGTTTTGAAGGTAATTTTATTATCAAACCTGTAGGGCAGAGATGGGAAGTAACGAAGTACTAATACTTCGTTACTGTACTCAAGTAGATTTTTCTGATATTTTTACTTTACTTTACTACTTATTTTTCCATCAACACCTTTGTTTCTAGATGTTGGAGCTTGGCCTGTTTTCCAGTGTAGTCCTGTTTCTCTGACTGTGACTAACTGGATGTGCTCTCTTCATCCTCTGACATGGGAGCTGGCTCGGAGCTCGTCTGCCTGGCTGTGTGTTTCCTGGACGGGGCCGCCTGTGGAGCTGGTTGACAGTTGCCTTTTGTATCTATGCTGCTTTTTCTATGTCTGCTTCTGTCTCCTTGAACCCCAGTGGGCCTCAGCAGATGGCCGCTCACACTGAGCCTGGTTCTGCTGGAGGTTTCTTCCTGTTCAAAGGGAGTTTTTCCTCTCCACTGTCGCTACAAGCATGCTTAGTGTGAGGGATTGCTGAAGAGTCAATGAGTCGATGCAATCAGCTGGTTTTCCTTAGATAGAAAACTTTGAATCAATCTGACTGGATTATCTGGTTGAACTGGAAAGAGCCTTGAGATGACATGTGTTGTGAATTTGGCGCTATATAAATAAACTGAATTGAATAAAATTTTTATGCCGACTTTTTACTTCTACTCCTTACATTTTAAAAAATTGGCTCGTTACTTTAGTTTTGAATCGTTTCAATGGAGTTACCGTTATTATTTTTCACGTCATCAATACCAAATTCAATCTAATTGGATGGGAATCTACGTTGCATTTGACGCACCGCTACAAGATGAATCGACAGATTCGGCGGTATTCATTGGCGGCAAATCATTGCAGCTTGGTGGCGGTGGCGTTAGCATAGTAGCATGGACGACGAGATGATTGAAAATGAACACAACGGAGATCTAGTCCTATTGGCAGACATCCATTTAAAATGTAGGCAACGGCATGAAAAAAGTGGTTTCTACTTTTACTTTTATACTTTAAGTAAATTTACAAGCCTGTACTTTGTTACTTTTACTTGAGTAAAGAAGTTTAATCAGTACTTCCACTTTTACCAGAGTATTTTTTAACACAAGTATCTGTACTTTTACTCAAGTACGGAAAGTGAGTACTTTTGCCATCTCTGCTGTAGGGCAATAAAGAATGTTGCATATTATGGGGAAAGTTGTTGCCACCATAATAGCACACAGTATGGCTCGTTTTCAATCAAATAATTCATTTTTAACCAAAGTTATGTTATTTTATCAAAGAGAAGTTTGATATAGATGATTTCAGGAGCTCTGCTTTAAAAAACAAGATGGATACCGGCAAATAAAACATGTGCTACTGATGTGGAGGATAGAGCGACGCATTACATGGACGAGTCCATGACTAGATGCTCTTACCATCACCATGTCTCCAGTGAGTGAGTTCGCCAGGTCGGTTACAGAGGAGTGGCCATCGGCGTCGGGGGGGTGACCTTTGGGGCTGTTTGCTGGTTTGTTCCCCCTGAAAGCAAAGGAAAAAAATCAGGATGACAAACAGAGAAAAGTTGAAACGTTAATGAGCAGCCGTCTCATCTACGGAAGCCTGTGAGCCCAGAGGGAGGGCGGCCTCCACCTGTCTCTAAAATCATCCGCTCAGTCCAGCTCTACTTTGGATAGATGTCACCTCAAAGCACAACCAGATTTTATTTATTTAGTGGCCATCGCTAACAAAGCCAAAGAAAACCTGCCAGGTTCTCCACAGATTAATGACACACAGACCTGAGAGCCATGATGGATGAGATATTAAACCTCAGACAATTACAGGGACGTCCTCAAAAGAAAGTTACCACCACAAGCAAAAAATACAAGAAATAAAACCATTCAACTTTACATGATAGAAAATGTTTCCAATCCTTGGAAAGTTTAGAACATTTATTTCCTCTGAGGCTAAGATACATATATAAGTATACAGATAAATGTAAAACATAACAGACAAACATGTATAGCCACATATAGAGGACAGACATTGCATGTTTAAATCTGTATTAATTACAACAACAAACAGCGAATCTTATAGAAACAAACAGGGAGAGACATGAGAGCTTTAGTGGTTCGGCTGGAACTGCGATACAACTTTAATAAATGTCACATTTTATTCCCTTCCACACGCTTGGAGAGAAAACTCTTCATATATGAATAAAAATAAAGAATCACAAAGAGAAAAGTAAGACCAAAATAACCATGAGAAAGGACAGAAAAAAGCTAACTGTTGATGGACACCTAAGATGGTTATCCATTTAAATGGCCGCTCGACGAACATGAACGTCTGAACAATGAGAAAACAGTCCGGAGAAAAACAGGAACACAAACAGAGAAAATTACAAACAGACAGAAATCATAAAAGGACAAAAACTCTGGAAACAATAAATGAAAGGAAAACACAAGCAGGCAGAGTTTTAAAAATCAGTTTTAGAAGAGATACCAAATATTAACAACATGGAGATTATGAAAACAAAAAGCATAGAGTGAGATCTAAACAAACGGCAGCACATCAGAGAGAGCAAAGAGAGCTGCTAGGAAAGGTAGGAAATGAGGGAAAGAAAGCCTGCAAACACAAGATCGGCTTAGTTTGGTCAGTTTGAGAAGAATAAAAGACACAAAATTAAAATAAAATGCACACACTATATCTTTAAGAGGAGACAAAGGAGCAAACATGCTAAAAGGAGAGAGAGAGAGAGAGAGAGAGAGAGAGAGCACAAAGAAAAAAGAATAAGACAATAAATACAATTGATCATCAGGAAATAAAGAAACATCTGTTTGGGTGAGATTAAAAATAACTGAGAAATGAGAAATAATGTGATACACCATCCAAACTAGAACTTCACTAAAACCATGAAAAGGGAGAAATAATAAAAGGTGGGAAGAGCACATTTAGAGTGTTACAAAAGAGGACGTGTTGAAAAAATTCAGCAACTAAAGACGATACAAGTGGGTTTTTAAAGCAGCCTGATTTTCCAGCATTTTAGCAACACTCTAAAAGTGTGGAGTAGGAACACAGGGCCAAAGCACGGACCGGCATTGGCTACATGTGCATATTTAATATATGCAAGTAGGTGTCACTCAGAGAGAGTGAAGGCAATGCCCTGGACAGGCAGGAAAACAAGGAGCCCATAAAACGTCTGTCTGTCTGGCCAGCATTCTCTATCGAACTCTTCACCTGGAAGATAGATGCGCGCTCTTAGTCGGGTGCGCTAGAAAAACTCCAAATTTGGATGAGGATCGATGTTGAATGCAATAATGTGCATTTTTGCAAAGGACAAGGACAAAACTGACTGAAGGAAAGTATACTGACAATTAGACAGACAGAAAAGGCAAGCAAACAGTCCAACTGGCAGAAAATAAAATAGAATATAGAAATAAAAAGGTGTGGGGGGGGGGGGGGGGGGGGGGGGGGGGGGGGTTGGGGGGGTGCAAACATTTCAATAAGCAGGGAGGGGCCTAAAAGTCTACACACACCCTGTTGGATTCTGTGTTTTTAAATGAGAAATCAGGCTCAGGTGAATGAAATTTAAAACCTTCTTTTTGTTCGTTATATTTTATTATTTGTTCTGTAAAGTTCAACTGAAAAACAACAAAAAAAAAAAAAGATAATAATGAGTTAATAAGTCAGCACCTCCTTTAACTCTTCTTCAAACCTTTAACCTTCTTCAGGCGGAGTCCATAAACACGCCTCACGATACTGGAGGAGATCCTCTATCTATCAACAGGTTTATCTGTGAAATGTAGATCTATACTCATTTTAGTCCTTTTCAAAACTTGGATTTTTTTTACCCCACAGTCTTTTTCAGTTTTCCAGCTTTTTAGCGTTTTATTGTCAATCCACTGTCACAAGTACAGAGCCAGGAAATTCCCCCTCTGCATTTAACCCCTCCCCCTGGGGAGCAGTGGGCTGCCATTGTGAGGCGCCCGGGGAGCAGAGTGGGGTTTAGGGTCTGGCTCAGGGACCCAGACTGGCAGTCTGTAGGGATTGAACTCAGAATCTCTGAATTCCATACTCTATGTCCTAACCAGTAGGCCGCTGTTCTGTCGGACCAGCATACCCATAGTCAATTTATCCCTTTAGTTTATCTCTCTAGTTTGGTACGAAAAATAAACTTTAAACCACCTCGACGGGCGTTTATCCCTTTAGTCATGTACAAAAGAAACAGCATAAATGACTTAATTTATGCTGTTTTTTGAAGCATATGGCGATCTGATCTTAAATTGTTTTTTTTGTACGTGACTAAAGGGATAAACGGCTGTCCAGCGTTTCTTAGAGATGATAAACCTTTACTTTGAAATAATTGCCCTGAAGGTTTAACTTTACATTGATCAGATAAAGTTTGGGAGGTTTAAGTCGAGCCTGGAGTTTTCTGGAGTTTTTCTGTGTTACCTTCTGTATTATGTTAGAATATTTATTAATTTTAAATGTTAGACGAGTCGCATTAAAAACAGCAGAAAGGTTATAAGACTCCTAATATTGATTCCACAATGTCAAACTGAGATCATCGTTGTTCACTTTAGTATCACTTTATTATTTATAGGCTGTACAGGACTCACAACTGCACACATGTACAACAATACTATTAAACAAAAGGGCGATACTTTATATATTTTCATTGTAAAATAAGAAATTTTAAAATGACAACAGAGAATTTAGTTCTGTTCTTGTAAGAGAATAACTAATTTCTCTACAGCCTTAAAGAGATTTGTTTTTTTCTGTTGCTCACAGGAATGTGGAATCATTAGTTTCTCATAGTTAAAACCTTAACCACACATTTAATTACTTTTATATTAGACTTTGTCTTGTTTTAAATTTTGATATGTGGATATTTTGCTGATTTATCCTCCCTGTTTGCTGCTAATCCAATCAGACCAAGCAGAGATAGAAAATGACTTTTTGCCAATATTTTTATTTTATTTAAGAAAGGGGATTAAGGTGCTGCAGCACAATGTCAGCGTATAACCATGTAGAAAAGCTGAAGTCTTTTACCAAAATAGAGTTAGAAGCGCAGTTTACTGTAAAACTGCACCAATCTGTGCTAATTGCTCTGTAAGGCACAGATGTCCCGTTATTGTTATATAGCCTCAAGTTAATAAAGCTATGAAAAGCTTTTTTTTATGAAGACATTCCTCTGATCCTTTTTGTTAATTCTCTTTAAACGATGACAGATAAAGGAACTAAAAGTAATCAGACTACTCAGATTAAGTAAAACTGATGGTTGTTAACCTATAAAAACACAGAAGTTCATTAAAATCAGCTAATTTTTGTTTAAGAGTGTTTTCTGCAGACTCCTGCAACCTGTTTGCAGAACATTTGTTTTATTTTACCATTTCTCCCTAAAATAGTGTTTTTTTCAGTTGAACTTTACAGGATAGATGTCAAATTAAAGTTGAAAGAATGTTGGTCACATTTTTCATTTAAAAAAAACTCACTTTCCAAATCCACTGTGCTTTATATCAAACATGGATGTTTGTTTTTTTCTCTGGGTTATGTATAATTTTGCTGCACTAATTCCTGTAGAGGAAACAGGAAATCTGGTCCATGTATTCCGCAGCGAGGGGAGACTAGTATGGATGGAAGAGTGAACACCTTCAATTATTCATTCTCCCTCGTGCTTCATCCAAGGGTTCAGTGCGTTCTCAGGTGAAAGCTGCAGCAGCTTCCTGCCTCCAGGCTGTTGAAACATGGTGGCTGAGACTGCAGCTCAGCTTCACCAACTTTTTCTTCTCCATGTTTCAAAAACTAATTCCACAGTTTTCTTCTCAATATCTAAGAAAGTAATATTAATTTTGGCAAAACAACTGATATGATTCTGGCGCCGATGGCGTCTCTGTCATCCAACCCTTCAGGGGCTGTTATGGTAGATCTGAGTCTGTAGAGCCTGCAGTTCTCTACAGTGTCCAGTGGGAGGCAGAGTGAGCTCAGATCAGACTCTCCCACAACTAAGAAACAAAAAGTGGGCTGTTGGCATAGCAACGACTCTGGAAATATAGACCATATATGTGGGTTTGGGGATGTCTGTTGGGAGTGGACCCAAGGGTGTGTCTGAAAAGGTGGGGGGGCTCAGGAGGGGATGCAACACACAAGCAAACACACTGAGAACAAAGAAGATTTAGGATATATGACAGGTACGGGTGAGAGCCTCGCAGACACACGTGAACGGACATATGGAGGCAGGCAGGCATACTTTGGGTTTCACCGTCCTGTGATACTATCCTGTTTGGTTACCTGACCGAGGGCCAGCGGCTCGAAGAGAGGGGGAGGGGGGCAAAGACACTCCACTTCTAGGCTGGAGAGAGACGCGAGAAAGAGAGCCCAACCCAGACCCTCCACACCCCAATTTTTTTTCCCAAAACATTCAGACTTTCCACTGGTCTGCAAACAAACAAACATGCTGAGATCATGGAGTGATGTATTTCAACATCTATGCTCAATTTCATTGCCACCCACTTTTTATATCACGCTTTGGAAGTGCAGCT